TGAGCATGAGAAGCCTCGGTAATGAGGACTTCACGACCTCTTAAGGGAGATGAGATGTGCACCCAAGGGACAGTACAAATCAGTGTGTGGAATGGACCAGCAGGGGCAGCGCATGAAGCAGTGAGGAAGCCTGGAGGAGGAAAGAGTCCCCAGGAAATCAAGGAAGGCCTCAAGGAGAAGGTGATATTGGTACTGGGTGTTGATGGATGGGTAGGATTTTTGATGGACTGAGTTATGGGAAGATGGCTTTTCAGTCAAAGGAAAAAAACCCAGAGGAAACAAAAGATTTGAGAGACAGAGACACTCAGAGTGGTTTGGGGGAGTGGCAAATCATGAAATGGAACTGAGCGTCCATCATCCATCAAAACAGAGAGAGATCAGATGGAAACTGGATATTGAGAAGAGAGGGCGTTTCTGTTTTGCATATGGTTATTTGGATTTTATTAGGAAGATAAAGAGAGTTGTAGGGTTTGGAATTGGAAAGCGGCATAATCAAAGCTGAACCTTTGGAGAAAATGGGGACTAAAGGGGGTGGCTCTGGGGGTTAAGAGACCAGCGAAGTGGCTGTTGTATAACTCAGCCTGGAGAGCAACTGTGAGGCTCTGGCAGGGCCTTGAGCACCCACTAGGTGTGGGAATGAAGGGAAGAAAGGAGAAAAGAATGACTGAAGTGCTGTGCTTGGGTGACAAGCATGGTGGAGGCACTGAGAGAAATGTGAGGGACAGAAAGAGGAGGTGCTTTAGGAAAAGGATGTATTTGGTTCAGAATTCACTGCATTTAATGTGCCAGGGGAATGAACTGGAGTATGGGTTTCTAAAACCACCTCCACTGCCTGCTTTTGAGATTTTTCAGCTGGACATAACAGGACGAGTTAGTAAGAAATATCGGACACTTCCGCAATACTGATGCTGCCATCTCCTTCTCTAATCCCTGAAAACAGAGGGCAACCTTGTGTTTCTTGAAGCCCACGAAGAGTAATTCTATGGGATTGTCCCAATAAAAAGGGATGCAGGGAAGTCCCCCAAAGAGGAGGAGCAATGAAGAGGGGGCTGCTGAGGGTGGAACCTGGGGTTGGTGGCCCCTTCCTTGCAATATTCAAAAGGAATTGCTACTAGAAGCACCTAGGGAGGCGGCACCAGGTCCCCAGGCTCGTAAAGACCCCGACATCTCAAGCTTGACACCGGTGCTGGGCTGATAGCAAGGACAGAGCGTGCTGCTGTGTGGTTTGTGCAGAGAAGAGAGGGCCTGTGTGAGGCTCTGGGCTGAGTGAAGGTTGGAAATCCTCTCGCTTGGAAGAGGGGTGCGCTTTTCTTCCGACAAAAGCACGATCTACTCCTAAACTGTGTCCTGGAAGCTACCACTGCTGGGGGCCACCTTTTAAACATTGCACAAAGGGTCTGTAGAGGAAATAATGGCTTATCACAGAGCAGGAGCACACCCTGCCCCAGACCCCCAAAAGAGGAAAACGTGATTCCTCCTCTCCAACTCCCACACTTGAATTCTTGTGTGACCCACAAAGCCCAGGACTGATTTTCCTGGTACTCTGGCAAGTAGGAGTTCAGAGTCAAATTAATTTTATTTAGAGAGGAAGAAGTTTTAAAGTTTTAAAAGTACCTTAAAAATAAATTAATGTGCTATTTCTCCTGGCCAGTGTTGTAGAATAAAATCTGCCACTGTCTGTTTAGTATGTTGAGTTGCGTAAATTTCCCTCATAGCTGGGGGGCTGCAAACACCACCTAGAGTCACGATTCCTTCATCCAGGCCTGAGCAGAAGGTCTTTCTCCTGGTGTCCCCCTTGAACATGGACTTTGCTGGGCCCTTCTCTGCTGTTGTCTCTAAGTGGAGTTGAAGGGGACTTCCCAGGACCCCCTGACAGGTGCAATGACCTGGATTCACTGCACTTGTCTGTTTAATTGAGTTATCCTGTGAGGGCTGGAGGCCGCTGCCCACGCTGCACACATATTCATCAAGATTTCACTGCTGCCCGGGGATGGAAGTGATCCTCCAGGGTGGCAGCAGGCCGCAGGGAAGCAAACGTCCCGCAGCAGAGAGCTTGACAGAGAGAGTGCCAGATGGTGGGGCTGAGAGCCAGGGCTGCACAGTGGCCCAGGAGAGCTCCAGAAAGCTCCCGCAGGTGGCTTGCTGGGGTCTGAGAGCACGGAGACCACCCTGCTCCCTGGATGAACGACCAGATAAACAAGCCATTCCTTTGAGGCTGCCACCACTTAGCAAACTCCACATGTGGATAGGGACAGCACCAACCAATCTAAGGGGGATATCTGGAGATTGTTCTTAAAGCATAAGATAAAGTAAAAATAAAACTTTAATTTTCTTTTTTTCTTTTTTGGGGACGGAGTCTCACTCTGTCACCAGGCTGGAGTGTGCAGTGGCACGATCTCGGATCACTGCAACCTCCACCTCCCGGGTTCAAGCGATTCTCCTGTCCCAGCCTCCCGAATAGCTGGGACTACAGGTGCACGCCAATACACCCAGCTAATTTTTTTTTGTATTTTTACTAGAGACGGGGTTTCATCATGTTGCAGGATGGTCTCGATCTCTTGACATCGTGATCTGCCCGCCTTGGTCTCCCAAAGTGTTGGGATTACAGGCGTGAGCCACTGCACCCGGCCAAAACTTTTATTTTCTAATTACATAAGTATGTAGCTTTATAGGAAATGTGGAAAATGTAGAAAACCAGACAGAAGAAAAATTAGAAGCCACTTGAAAGGAAAACACTATGGTACATGCATTTGCATCTGCGTACTATTTTATCAGGTCTGGGATCAGGCCAAGGAGGCCAATTTTTCCCAGCCTAAATTCTAAAAGACATATTAATTATGAAAATTCTTAAACATTCATACAAATACAGAGAGTAATAGAGCAAACATTCAGATACTTGCCACTCAGGTTTCCATCTGCATGCTTTTTAAGTTTTTAAATGTTTTAGTTGGAAATAATCCCAGTTTGCATTTCCTGGGGATAGGGATATTCTCTTATTAATATAGTACCTTAGTACAGTTGCAGCTTCTTAAATTTACATTGACACAATGTTTACTTTGCCACCCATATTCCAATGTTCATGACCTAATAAAGCCCTTGGCTTCAATCTAGGGTGAAGTACTGCATTCTGTTGTCATATCTCCTTTGTGTGCTGTGGTTTGAATGTGTCCCCCAAAGTTCATGTGTTGGAAACTCAGTCCCCAATGCAAAAGTGTTGGGAAGTGGAGCCTAAATGAGAAGTGATCAGGCCCCAGGAGCAGAGTAAGTATGTCCATGTCATCATTGGAGTGGGTTCATTATAAAAGGGGGAGTTCAGCCCTTTTTCTCTCACCCACATGATGGAAGCCCCACGGGGAAAACAGAAGCTGTTATATTTAGGAAACCTAAAACGTTTTTGTCTGGCTGGATTTTCCAGAGTGAGAAGGGAAGGAGTGATTCAAGAGGTAAACAGGGACCCAATCACAAAGGGTTTTGCAAGAGAGCAGAAGCTTCTGTTTCATTCTGCAGGAATGGGGAGTCACTGTGCAGTGAAGGACCTCTCCAGAGGAGGTGCTGCGGGGATGGGCAAGAGGCAGCGAGAGCAGTTAGGAGGCCTTGCCATTGTGCTGACTGAAGATGGAGTTATTCATACAACGAGGGCAGAAATCTCAACAATCAAGGAGGCCATCATTAGACCAAGGTTGGCCTAGACCTTGACCTGCAGATTTACAGTGCAGTCAGGAAACATCCCTTTTTCTGGGAAACCCTGAGCATGATACTTCCTCTCTTGCCAACCTGCTGTTGCCATCAGCACTTCTGTTGCATAAACAGGTAGGATGTGTGTTGGGGGAGGTGGTGGTGGTTAATTTCCGGAAGATATAGAGCAACCATATAGCTGATGGTGTCTCCTTTCCCTGCCAGCAGTAGACCTATGAGTTTTCATCCTGCCAGAGCAGCAGAGGCCCTGGGCAGAGGCTCCAGCACCACTGTCCCACTTTGGCCCCCACAGCAGTAGGTGTGCTCCAGGGGTGAAAGAGGGGTGGCCCTTAGAGCTGTCCCTGGGAGTAAAATGTCAGGGCTGTGCCTTAGGAGAATGAGGTGGGCACCGGGCCCATTGGCGAATGGAGAAGGCCAGTTGTATCTGGGAGCCGGCGCTTCACTCATTTACCTGCTTAGTCAGTCAGTGTCTATTTATTGAGCTCCTACTGTGTGTCAGGCACTGCTGGAGGTGCTGGCATGCAGCAGTGCAGGAAACGTCATGGGAGGAGAGGTGGGAGGTAGACAGTGTGTGCTAGGGCATGGTAAGTACAGGTAAGGAAAGGTGTCAGCCCCTTGGCTGCTGACCCCCCACCTTAGTCCACCATTATCCACTGACTGCTGCTTCCGGACATTAGTGCTTGGAGATGAGTTGCTTAAGGCTTCCCACAATGTTCCCTTTATTCACATTTCATCTGTAAAAGACCATACATCTCACCATGATATAAAAGCTTTCATCCCAGGGACCCCCAAGGCCTGGGATCTGATTTTGGGATCACTTTCGGGATATTCCAAACACAAGAGAGACTGGGCCTTCTGAAATATGGTCCAGTCCCTCTGGACACAAAGGCCCCAGCAGGTGATAGTGGGGGAAAGTCCAATTTAGTAAGGGGACAGGCTGAGGTAGGAGTAAGGGAAAGCTACCCAGGTCCAAAGCATCACATTGCCCTGTCATGTTGCCCAGCACAGCTGCCATCACACATTGGTTGTAGCAGTGACTCCATTCACACACATATTTTTCAAACACATATTACACAGAAAACACATACAGTGAACTATGGAAAGCTAGAGGTGAATAGGTAAGGAATGGAAGGAGAAGGCAGCCAACCGAGGGCCGGACACTGTCTTCCCCAGTTCTACCACCCTGGGGCCAGCCCAAACCAAGCGCACCCCACCCATATGATCCACTCCAGCTTTAGCTCACCGGGTGATCCCAGAGCTCCCAATCCTACAAAACCAGGGCATTTCTCAGAGCTGTGACTCACCATTGCTGGCGATTTTAGAAATGCACTGATGACACGTTTTCTCCAGACCTCCTGGCATTGTTCTTGCTTGCTGACAAAGTTCTGAGGATCAAAAATAATTCATTAGAAAGGATGGTGGAAGGATTTACTCAGCACCAATAACCAACCCACTCTGTGCATGTCAGTGGTGGCCTGCAGGGTAGTCTCAGTCAGCCCAGGGGGGCTGGGTGCCAGTGTCAGGTGTGGCCTTGTTAGTGGTTAGCGGGGCTGAGGAAAAGACCCCCTATTCCACAGACAAGGGAACCAAGCTCAGGGAGGTTAAGAGGCTTGCCCAGTGATATCAGCCAGGGAGACTGGCTAGAGAAAGGCCTGGAGGGGGAGATGGTAAGAGCTCTCACTTGCTGAGAAATGGCTGCACCAGGCATTGTGTTAACTCTTTAAATAGGCCATCTCATATTGAATCCCACAACAATCCTATCTGGGAAGTGTTACTGACTGTGTTTTACAGATGGCACCTTAGAGACCCTGAGAGCTTAAGATTCACCCTAAGACCAGAGCTGGCAACTGGCAGAGCCCAAACTTGATCCAGGCATGGATCCAGGTACAGAGCAAGGGGCCCCTCACTTCCTGATGCAGCTGCTGCACTCTCCCAGGGTCCAAGCGGAAGGGGAACCATGGCCTTGACCAGGGCGGCCTGGGTCGAGACCCGAGCGGCCTGGAGCGCCACCCCGGCTCCCCTGTGGACCTGCTGTGGTCTGGGCAAATTGGTTGACACTGAGAGAAAGGACTTTCCTTCCTTGGAAGAAATAGTCAAACACATTTTAAATCCACAGAAAAACTCCAGCTCATCGACAGCAAAGTTTCCTGTCCGGTAAAATGAGGTAGCCCTGTAAAGACATTAGGAGAGGAAGGGAGTCACTTTGTCCCTGAGGCTGCGTAGTTCTACCACTTCCCACCATTTCGGTGCTTGGGAGTAGGGCCTCCATGGTGGCTGGCTGATCCAGGCAGGATCTGGGGCAAACATCCTTACTTCATACACAAAGTCTCCCCAGGAACCTGTCCAGAGTAGCCGTGGCTCCATTTAAAAGCACGATTTAACAGGGTCCTTTTTTCTCATATTGCAGGGGTTTGCAAACCAGGGGACCACAGCATTTTAGCAGCACTACCTGCAGGCCCTCCTGGGTGAACTAGAGCTTAGGGCAGGGGGAACAGGCTGTGATGAGGAAGATTTGTAGTCTGAGGACAGAGGTGGTCATGATGACAGAAGGAGAGCTTGCCTTGACCAGAGTTGTGGCTCATAGCAGGCGAGTCATTCCACCGCCAGTGTCAGCATGGGCCTGCAGGCAGGAGCCACGCAGCCCGCAGCTTCTCTCTGTGGCTGATCCACTGCTAGCGCACAGGCAGGGTGGTTCGGCTGAGATTCGGGGTTCTCATTGCCCATCACTGTCCTTCTAGGACATGTCATGCTCAAAATCTGGCTTTGTGTCAGCAGGACCTTTACAGCAGGAGGCAGTGTGGCCGGAGATAGTCAGTCCCCAACCAGAGGCGCATCACCAGCGCCCTGCCAAGGTCTTCCATGTTACCTCATTTAGTTTTCCTAGTTCTTCCAGAGGCAGGTATGCCCCATTTTACAGAGAAAACCAAGATTCAGATCAATTTGTTTGCTCAAAGTCACCCAGCTAGTAAGTGGTAGAACTGGGGTTGAAATGAGGCCTCAGAGACTCTATCTGAAACCTGGACTCTGTGCCTTCAAAGCCCACAATCTCTCCACTTTCACCCCACAGCAAGAATATAAAGGGGAAGAAACCTGGAAAGGAGAGGCTTCCCAAAGTGAGTCAGGGACTAAGCAAGGAGATCATGGTGGTCAGTCCTGTCATGCTTGATCCTATTTAACCAGGCAAAGATTCTTATCCCCATTTTACAGATGAAGAAACTGAGGTTCAGAAAAGTGAAGGACTTGCCCAAGATCACACAGCCAGATTGGAATCCAGGTGTTTTGAGATCTGCCAAACTTGAGGTGCCTACTCTCTGTTAACCAGAATGGACTTTGACAGTCTTGACTGCAGTGAGATGATGGGACACAGACTGGCAGGGCTGAGCACCCAGGGTTTTCTGACCCCCCAAACCCTGGGAATCCCAAATGCAGCGCTTGGGATTCACGCGGTCCCTCTGCTGTTTCTGCCTCCTGACACAGGCTCCCCCGCCCACTCTTCTCCTGGAAGCAACTGTGGAGAATGCACATGAGTCCTTGTCTCTCTGGCACGCAGTAGGTCTTCAGTAGGTCTTCAGTATGTTTAATGAATAATTCCATTAACTACTATTCAAATGTCTCTTCACAAGGCTCCATTTTCCCCCACAATGTCCTTGCAAAAACTGTGGCTGTGGTGTCCTTACACACAGAAAATCCAGGAACACCACAGCCCTGAGTAAACCACAGCCTCTTCCGCATCCTTTGACTCTGACATTCTACCGATCAAGGTGAAATGAGACCAGCTCTCCGGCCTAATGGGGTTTGCCAGGTGCACACCCTTTTGTTACACAGCAAGTAGGCCCCAAGCCATGGACAAATGGCTACCGTATGAATTACAGATTTACTGCTGATGTCCACACTTCATCAGGTTGATTGCCACAGGGGTGTCACAGAAGCTAAGCCACTTAAAACCGTGCCTGGAAGAACAACCTTCCTGGACCCAATGATAAGCCCAGTTATCTAAAGGGGCCATGGCCCATCATGGGCTCCTAAAGGCCTGGAAGGTCGGCTCCTTTCCTCACCCTTCCTAGGGAACACAGAGGGTGCACTTCACATAACAGGGAGAGTGTGCACTTCACGAACCGCAGCATTTTTCTCCTGGATCACAGAAGGGATAAAACAGAGGGAGGAGACATAGGAGCCATCTCTTTATACTTGCATGGTGGAGTTGCCACTGATTTAGAAAATTCCTTTGAAATGTGTTGAACAGTTTCTATCAGTGCCTACAAACCAAGACATTCCAGTCTTCAAATCCACAGCAGCTTTGCAGAAGCTAACGAGATTTGTCTGTGTCACATTAGAACAACACATTTCTATCTTGGGCCATTCCCCGGGGTAAGAGGCACACACGTTAGCCTCCTGTGAATCCTGAAGAACAATGTTTCACCACAAAAAGTAATATAGGGCTGCATATACTTTTTTTTAAATTCAAATATCCTAAATTGGCTGATCCCTTTAGCCACTAACTGCGAATAAGGTAGAAACATCAATCTGAAAAACAGTGATATCTTCATTGATAATAATATCAGACCACATGAGGTGGGAGCCAATAGAACACACCAACACAAGGTGCAGGTATTAGATCCATTTTATAAATGAGGAGACTCTTACTCCTTCAAGCTTGTTACTTTCATAAACTGGCAAGACGGATGAGAACTAAAAAAAGAATGATGTGCTGTTAATTCTGTCACACCTTAAAGAATGTTCCCTAAGAGACAGGTAGCAGTGGCAGTAGAACTCAGCTTTGGCAACCAGCCAGAAAGGGAGGACAGAATTCCCAGGTACAGTCCCAAATGCTGGCCGACAAACTTTGCATATTGTGTTCAACTTCCCTTACAAGGAATACAGTGTTACACACACACACACACACACACACACACACAAAATCATATGACCTCATGCATGTAATAATGTCTGCAGATCTATGTAAACACATAGAAAAAGATCAGAAGCATAAACAGTAAACCACTGTGAATAACTGTTCCCTATGAAGGCAGGTACAGGGATACGGGGCCACTGGGGCTGGGGTAGGGGTAGGTAGGAATGTGCCGCAGGCAGGCGTGGGAAGTATTTTCATTTCCACTTTATACTCAAATATTGCCTTGCCTTTTCCCCCATTAGCAAGTTTTACCATTATAATTGTAGACTTCTTTTTAAAACTTCTTAAAATTCAAGAAGTATTATTTGAAATGAAAAGTAGTTTGCTCTCCAGAAGTCCAGAGATTTATAAAAAGTAGCATGTAGGGGATAGATGAGCAGGAAGGAGTAAGTCCACCAGGGAGCAGAAACAAAAAGGACAGAGATGATGTGATGGTGGTAGGCAATATTTTTCTCTTTTGGAATATTTTCTTTAAAAATTACAAAAGCGAATTCACAGAAAAATTAGATCACGGAGAAAAGAAAATCATTAGTCATTATAAACAACGGCAGAACTTCTAGCCCAACAACTGCTAGTATTTTGGAGCTTTTCTTTTAAGTATATGCATATATACATATGCACATGTGCATGTACACAAATTTTACATGGTTGCAATAATCAGGCACATTAAGTGAACACATCACATTTTGACATAAGCATTCTTTCTGTCACCATTTGGTCTTCAGAACTCTCATTTTCGCAGCTGAATTATAATCCACAGAGTAGGTTATATCCAACTATATTTCTCTACATCTTGTTGGATATTTACTTTCCACTCATAACTAATCCTAAGACACATGTCTCTCCATGAAAAGTGCTTTGTTTTATGCACATATAGATCTCTTGGAATAGTTATTTAATTAAAAAGCATAAGCAACTTTTTGGCTTTGAGGTAAAATTGACTTCTAAATGAGTTGTATCCATTTCCAGTGCCACCAGCAATGTGAGAGTGGCAGTTTCACCACACCTAACCAGCACTGGGTGGCTGAAAGACTAATGCATTTTTATTCCTCTCATAGGCAAAAGTGGAAATTAATTATTTTAATTTACATATTTGATTGCCAGTGATATTGCCAATTCTTTCTAGACTCATTTCCCAGTTGTATGTTCCCCTTTGTGATTTGGTTTTTATGACCCATGATACGGATTTATTTCAATTCAGAGGAAGCCCACAAAGAAAGCTGCAATTTGAGAAAATAGCAGTGAATCTGCTTTTTGATTCACAGAATTCACTGTGTGAATTTGCAGATTCAGATATGCTACAAAAGACCTATTCACTACTATGGTGGGGACTTGAACAACTCACAAAAAATTGCATGTTCCTTGGAGCCCTTTGAAGTGGCAGCTCTTCCAGGAGAGGGTCCCTCCACAGCAGGAGATGCCCAATAGAGCAAATACGTACTAACGATGGATTCACGTCAATGCAATTCATTTAATGATTGACTAAAATCTGTAATGACACAGATTTTAGTCAATTTCTATACCTTCTACTAAGAAAATGGACATTTTTTTCTTATTTGATAGAAAGTTTTCTTATTTGTTAGAAATCTGAAACAGGAAGAGATTGGGGTAACAGGCTGGGCAGTACCTTCTCTCCAGTGTGAACAAGCAGTGACTTAAAAGTCCATCCTTGTGCATGCTGTGATAGGACTGTGTGTCTCACACCTGCCTCTGCACCTAGAAGGGCAGTGATAATAGCTCCTGCTGCTTCCTATCCTAGCAGCTGAGTGATAATAAAGGGCACGATGGGAATTAATCAATAATATTTGCCAAATGACATGCTCAATGCATTTTCAATTTTCAATCCAACTGATATATCTCAGTGGTTCTCAACCAGAGGTGATCTGACCCCCAAGGCACATTTGGCAATATGTGGAGACATTTTTAATAGTCATGGCTGGGGCAGGGCTGTCGATAAAGAGACCAGACATGCTGAAAAACATCCTGCAAGGAGCAGGGCCGTCCCCAACAACACAGTTATCTGCTCCAAAATGCCAATAGGACTAGATCTGAGAAACTTTCTATGTCTGTCTAATGTTCCCAGTTTTACAGTTCAAATCTGTAAAATTCTACCTTTTTTTAACCTCTGAGTTGTGTCATGAACCAACAGTAAACATATATATATGTGTGCGTGTACACACACACACACTATATATATATGATTGTGTTTTTACTGATTGGCTTGGTAAATTAAACTATTTATTCCTAAATCAGCTGTGAGGACCGACTCACTCTTGGTTTTGAATAACATTGAATATTAGACATTAACCATCCCCATACCTGTTCCTTCAAAGCAGATGTTAACTAGTATTGTTGAATATTTCCAACAAACATTTTGGGTGCTCAGGACACAGTCCTTTCTTATTTGTAGCTCTCTATGTAACCTGTGCTGTTTTCTCTCCTAACTATGCCCGAATGCATGAATTCAGTGGAGGTTATTGCATACCTACTGTGTATCAGAGTCATTCCACAACCTCCCTAGGATGCCTTCATTGTTTGGCTCCTAGGAAATGAAAAATGCACTTCCTTTGAGCTCTACCACCCCTTTAAAATGACCAAGTCAAAACCACTTGCTCAGAGCCCCAACAGGTAAGACACGGAGGTGACGTCTGCGGTCCCCACTCGCTGTCCTGCAGCCGGCAGGTTGTTTCTAAGAGTCCCCACACAACGTGCCTTCGCCCTGCAGTCATTATTCCTTTACAATTGTTCTCTTCTCCACAAAACCCACTTGCCTTAGACTCAGTGAAGATTGTTTTCTTTCCCGCCACACATTTAAGAAAAGCACTTCCAAAATGCAGTCATTTTCTTTCCAGGAAGCATAAATCAGCACATTGGCATCTTCCTGAGTATGATTTCAAGAAACCCTCTACTAGGACTCTCTCCCCAACTTCACAGGCTGTCCAGGGCTGCCGGACTCACCTGAGCTGAGCAGGGTGGGATCCAGAATCGGGCAGCACTCAGCACCTCTGTGGTCCCGGTGTCCAGGCCTGACTCTGTGGGGTTCCTCTTCACTTGGGGCTCCCACTCCCTGTCGCACGCTTTCTTTCTCCCTTTCTCTCCTGCAGCACAACAGCAACTCGTGGCTTTTCCTCTAAGGGGCGGGTTCTCTCCATTTCCCACTCCCACGTGTGGGGAGAGCAGCCCCACCGCCGGCTCATACCCCTGCAGTGTTCCCTAGGCCCGCAGGGGGGCAGCAGAGCGACCCCGGGAGCTGTGGAAAGATGGCCGACCCCTTGGAGTTAGGAATTCCCACAGGAAACATTTCATTTCAGTCCCTTAGGCACTAAACATAGGGACTTAGTTCTGGTGCGAGCCCCTTCTCACCCCTTGCTCTTCCTGCATGTTGGTGGCACACAAGGACGAGAGGACCAAACAGCGGCTGCTTAGGAAATAGGGTGAAGGTACTCAAAGTGGACTGAGGATGTGAGAGGTGCCCTATGGACTCGAGGACTGCCACCTAGAAAAGGGATTAAATTGATTCCCAGTATTTGCCAGCGACAGATCTGAGGCAGAATGAAGTTACAGGGAGGCCGAATTGTGCCCCATGTCATAAACTTTGTAACAGTGGCCTTCTTACACCTGAAGCAGGCTGCTTTGCTGTTGTGTGTTGGTGTTGTAAGCAATCACCTAGCAGAAGTTCTCAACTGCTGATGTGTAAGAGTGCCAGGGATTCTTTATTGAAATGCAGATTCCTGTACCACCTCCCAAAGATTCTGAATCTGTAGATCTGGGCCTGGGCCCAGGAATCTGCAGTTTAGACTCTGCTAAGTTTCCTGTAGGTGCTCCATGGACCACACTTTGAGAAACTGGCGTCACATGACATTAAAGGCATTCTCCAACCCTGACATTCCAGGTTTTTTGTTGTCATTTTGGTGGAAAAGGCCAGTCTACTGGGGAGGGACTGGGGTGAGGCAAGAGAAAAGCCTATTATGCAAATGTAAGGAGCTGCTCCCTCTGAAGCTACCCCTGCATTGCACGCCCCCTGGGAGGGCACCTCTCTGGGCTCACTCTAGGGCTGGCCCTGCCACTCTCCCAGTCCTGAATTCAAGCTGACCACTTCACACTACAGGACAGGGTGAGGCAGAGGAGCAAGGGGAGGAGACCTGCTGAAGGAAAGGACACACAGTCACAGTCACCAGTCACATAACAGCGTTTCAGTCAATGATGGACCACACGGATGGTAGTTCCTTAAGATTATAATGGAACTAAAAAATTCCTATCACCTAGTGATGTCGTAGCAGTCTTAATATTGTAGTGCAACACATTACTCATGTGTTTGTGGTGATGTTGGTGTAAACAAACCTACTGCACTGCTAGTCACATAAAAGTATAGCACACACAATTATGGACAGCACATGATACTTTACAGTAATAAAAAACAACCAAGTCACTGCTTTATGTATTAACTACACTATACTTTTTATCATTATTTTAGAGTGTACTCCTTCTACTTATTTAAAAAAAAAAAAAAAAGGTTCACTGTAAAAACACCTCAGGCAGGTCTTTCAGGAGGTATCCAGAAGAAGGAATTGTTATCATAGGAGATGACAGCTGCTGCCTGTTACTGCCCCTGAAGACCTTCCAGTGGGACAAGATGTGGAGGTAGAAGATAGTGATACTGTTGGTCCTGACCCTGTGTAAGCCTAGGTTAATGTAATGTATGTATAATGTATGGGCTAATGTATGAGTCAAAATTTTAAAAAAAATTATAAAGTAAAAAAGGTACAGTAAGCTAAGGTTACTTTATGATTAAAGAAAAATATTTTTAATAAATGTAGTGTAGCCTAAGTGTACAGTGTTTATGAAGTCTATAGTAGTGTGTAGTAATGTCTTAGGCTTTCACATTCACTAATCACTCACTCACTGCACCCAGAGCAACTTCCAGTCCTGCAAACTCCATTCATGGTAAATGCCCTATACAGGTGCACCATTTTTTAATCCTTCATATTTTTACTGTACACAATGTTTAGATACACAAATACTATGTGTAGTATTTTCTATGTTTAAATACACAAATACTGTAGTGTTACAGCTGCCTACATTATTCAATACAATAACATGCCATGGTCTCTGGCCTTTTAGGAACAGTACTAGTCCCTAGCCTTTTAGGAACTGGGCCCCACAGCAGCAGATGAGTGGCAGGTGAATAATCATTACCACCTGAGCTCCACTTCCTGTCAGATCAGCAGTGGCATTTGATTCTCACAGGGCCACAAATCCTATTGTGAACTGTGCATGCCAGAAATCTAGGTTGCACACTCCTTATGAGAATCTAATGCCTGATGATCTGAGGTTGAATGGTTTCATGCCAAAACCTTCCCCATCCCCACCCTCATGAAACCGGTCTCTGGTGCCAAAAAGACTGGGGACCACTGGGTGTGTAGTAGGCTATACTATGTGAGTTTGTGTGAGTACATTCTATGACGTTCACACAATGGCAAAATTGCCTAATGTCACATTTCTCAGAACATATCCCCATTGTTCAGTGATGCATGACGGTACTTGAATCTTCTCTTATCTCACATTGAGCGAGTGGAAGCAGAGTGACTGTGAGCAGCGAGGTCAGAGCCTTAAGGCTTCCCTGCTACAATGGTGGGGGTCTGGGAGCACAGAGTGACCATGAGCCTGGCGTGGATGTGGCCAAAGGGACAGTAGTCCTTTTTGAGCACATTTTAGCCCAGACATCAAAACAAACAAAATTTCGGGTGATGAGGCAGTCTTCCTGGGAGTTCAGGAAGGGAGAAAATAATGGCAGGTCACTCAGGAGCTTTCCCACATGTCCCTGAAGATGCAGCAAAACATCAAAGAATATTTTTCCGCCAAACCAGACAACTGTATTTGTGAGTATAGAAATAGGAGATTTTTGTCGGGGAGAAAGTAGGAGTCGTCTTTGGAAAGTGATTATGAGACTCCAAAGCTAATGATAAATGATAGTAATAATAATAGCTGTATCAGTTAGGAAAACATGGGGGATTTGATATGGGGATACAAGAGCCACAGAAGAGCTGAAAAATCACGCACAATGTTATGGGGGAGTAACCCAGAGATTAGCAACTGAGAGTGGAAGCAGATGCTAACCCTGGAGATGTGAGTGGAAGACCACCACTGGAAATGCTGCCCAAAGCAAAGTAGGTGCGATTAATACCCCCACTTCACAGATGAGAAGCATGAGGTACAGAGAGATTAAAGGCACATGGCTACTAAGTGTGTAATGAACTTAAACTCAGACCATGTGATAAGAGTCCACATATGGCACCACTACACTACTGCCATATGAATAAAGGGCACATGGGGGGAGATGACAGTAGAATTGAGTGAAAGCTGAATTCAGAGTAAAATTTTTTTTTTTTTTTTTTTGAGACGGAGTCTTGTTGTGTCGCCCAGGCTGGAGTGCAGTGGCGCCATCTCAGCTCACTGCAAGCTCCACCTCCCAGGTTCACGTCATTCTCCTGCCTCAGCCTCCCGAGTAGCTGGGACTACAGGCGCCCGCCACCAAGCCCGGCTCATTTTTCGTATTTTTTAGTAGAGACGGGGTTTCACCGTGTTAGCCAGGATGGTCTCTACCTCCTGACCTCGTGATCCAATCATCTCGGCTTCCCAAAGTGCTGGGATTACAGGGGTGAGCCACCGCGCCCAACCCAGAGTATAAATTTTTAAATGCTTGTTTTTAGTTGAGGTGGTTCTCCTGGTAAAAGCGAGTTCATTCATTCATTGAATGAATACTGCTGACTCCAAGCCAGATACTGTAAGTAAAAAGATTACTTAATAAAATTCAATGTATCCCATAAGGAATTTTGATGCAAAAGAGTAGTGAGTGAATGAGCATGTGCCTGAGTTTAATTACAAAGGCAACTGTGAGTTAATGAAGGTAGGCCTGACTTCTTGATGGAAGCTGTAGAAATGAAGGGAGATACTAAAGTTGCCCAAAGACCAGGTTGTGCACCCCCATAAGGAGCAATCAGAAAGCCGAGGGACACTGATGAGTGTTCACACTCACGTTTTCCCAAGATTGCACAAAAGGTTGTCTTTGTCTTCATCTTTGCTTGTGTGTTATTCCTCAACAAATTAATTCTATGTAAACATCCTAATTCTTTTCATGCTTTCTTTGGAAGTTTTCCATTCTGATGTCACTCTTCTATTTGAGTCACCTTTTCTATATTTACCATCTATTCATCCTGACGGCTTCCTAATTTGGGAGAAAACCTTCAGGGTTCCTCACTTTGACTTCTACCTGAGTCAAAAAGCATTTCAATAGAAGTTTTCATTTTCTTTTTGACTTTTCCCAGCATTTTAATTTTCCGGAGGACAATTTAAGAAAAAGAGAAACAGAATGTGTGGTCCCAAAAGTAGTTCACAGTCCAGAAGAAGAAGAATTAAACGACAGGCAACGCCTGACCCATGCTGCAATCTTGAGGCCATTATGCTAAGAAATAAGCCAGCCACAGAAAGACGAATGCTGTATGACTCCACTCACGTGAAGCATGTCGAATAGTCTACGCTCATAGAAATGGAAGTAGACTGGTGGTCACCAGGGGCTGGAGAAAGGGGAGCAGGAAGAGCTGCTGTTTACGGGGTGTGGCATTTCAGTTTTGCAAGAAGAAAGAGAGATTGGTTGTACAACAATATGAGTATTCTTAACACTACTGAACTGTACATTTTTCAGTGGTTAAGATGTTGAGTTTTATGTTATGTGTATTTTAGCACAATTTAATAAGCAAACAAACTCCTGGATCTGAGAGGCTGGGGGAGTCAAGCCCTAACATTCTAAGGGCGCTGTGGAACCGGATAGTTGTCCAAGGTGCTCCGGAAAATCCCAGGGTCTCTTCAGCCCCAATTTCAGCGGTCACAGAGGCACTGTGGGAGGATGCGCGGACACGCCACTGTGAGGTTTCCCGCCTCAACCCTTTTACTCAGGTCTAAAGTGGCGCCTTGGAGTAGGCGTGAGGAAAAGAATAACTCCGGTCTTTGTGTCCCTAACCTAAGCTCCAAGCCCGAGGGTCTAAGTTCCCAGGGGCGAGTGTCGGGGTTGGGAAAATTCACAGCGCCACCT